GGAATATCCCTCCTTGTGCAAATAAAAAACTAATCAAATGCCTGCTAAACATCCAATGTCACCCTATGCAATTTTCAAATCATCAAGCATTTACTCATAACAATGTCAGTTATTCTTGTATCCATTGTACTGTTACCTGACGCAGATTCCTGGTTACTTTCACATCATGCCAGGCATTGTCATTAAATTTCCCATTCACAGGTTCCACCAGCGCTTCAAAGGCCCCTGAGCCCAAATTAATGACCAAGGAGACAGCTCCATTTTTCAGTGCAAGATTGACATAATCAGCCGATTTTCCCGTGTGAAGCATCAGTCCATTCCTCTGAAGTGTTTTAAATGACAGAGTTATTTCATCACTGCTACTCTGTATGGGATTCTGAGATAAATCATAGCAGAAGTATTCTGATCCCTTGAATGTTGCAATATATTCTTCTTTTCCTGGCAAAAAAAGAAAGGAGACAAATTAATCACTGGCACGTAATTAAAAGCAACTCGCATGAATTATTTTCATATCTAATTCAACAGTATTACTGTAAGCACTGTATCAAAAAGTACTTAATTTAAACCACTTAAAATCAATTAAGAAAAAAGATAACTATAAGATTTACTGTAAACATATTTTAAATTATTTTCTTAAAGAGTTTTCACGGGTATGATTAAACTCAGAAAACATGCTGCATCTGCAATTGTGTTAATGTTATTTAAGCAACCTGAGCTAGAACACATCAAAGTACTCAACATCTAGGCGAATGTGCAAACCAAAGCATTATTCCAGCCAAAACCCAGATCTTTTCACCCCGGTCTCTCACTAAAATCACAGCATCTCAAAAAGAATCAATAACCTAGATATCACAAAGTGCTTTGGCCTAAGATCTTGAATAAACTGAAAATACAAATCTACAAGTCTATTTAAGAATCTACCTCATTCAAACCTGCACAGAGCACAATGCTGGAGAGCAAGTTATCATGCATCAGTAAACAGGTTTTTCTCCTGGATGTACTTTTACTAGCCAGTATGTGCCATACAGGTTATTTTCTTAGTTTATCCTGAAGGTGACTAAGAAACACAAATAGCAGAAGCTAAGCCTTTGGTGTCATCAGAAATGCAAGTATAACACAAGTAGAAAACATAATCTCCATATAAGTCCTATATGAACGATATCCTGACCTTAAACATTTCAGTGGAAACCTGTACATGTTGGTGCAGCGTAAGGATGAAGGTATGAAAACCTGAGAATGTAAAATTTCATCACTCTTGAGAATAAACTCAGTCTCCAGAACACAGCTACATACATTAGTCTACAATACCATCATAGCTGGTATCGTAGACTATGACATATGGTATGATAGTCTATGAGGGGCTCAGCTGTGCCCTGCGGTGGGTCTGCTGGAACCAGCCATGTCCGACATTGGGCAGCCCCAGCCTTTCCAGCTCATCCACACCCCGGCCTGGGCTCCCAACAACTTACCACTGACATCCAATATAAAGGCTAACATTTCTGTGACTACCACTCCATAACTGTAAGTATTCAAGACTGAAACTTTATGACTTGATTACATTTTGCTTGTGGAAGAAAAAGAAAAGGCTAAATCAGAAACCCTACAGCTCTTCACCAGAGAAAAAAAACCACAAAACTAAACAACAAACAAAAAAACAGCTTGAGTTATTGGAAAAATGAAGGCATCATCACTGTGACTGGAAAACATCTATTTCATATGGATTTCACTGGATGGCCCTTTGGGAAAACCAGTAATGGCAAACTCTGAACTCTTCAGAAGAAGCATCCTCTTTACCAATGCTATACATCCTGCAAAAATCACTTTTAATTTTTGAACTCTTCCCCGTTCCTTTTAGCTCAATAATAACGTCTGTCATACATAGTAATGTCACCAAAGAACTGTCATTAACTGATATGTTTAATGATCTTCATAGAAAGTACCTAAACAAGCATTAGATAAGCTGTTGTTCTTCCTTCACATTACTGTACCATCACTCTGGCACATGAGCTGAGCAAAATCAACTCACATATGAAGCTTCCCCCAAATAACAGAAAGGGAGACCCCATTTGGGGCATTTCTGGAAAGAATTAATTAATCTGATGTTTAATTTAATCACTAATTTCAACAACTGTACAGAAACTTTGAATCTAAAGTTTTGTGGGTCGAGTAATTTTTTTTTGAAGTTATGCTGACGCATTCAATTTTTACTTAGTTTGCATCAAACCAGCACTCATTTGTTTAAAAAGTAACTTTAAACTGGGAAAAAAAGCCAAAACTGAGCAGATCATTTTACTTCAGTAAAATATTTTGATTTAAAAACGTGAATACTGTGGTTTAAATTTCATACCTTTCCTGCCAAACTAGCTTTTTGGCTCACCTGCCAAACTGAAAGTGTCCATTACCTGCTTTTTTACATTTTAGGATTGAGTTTCACAGAATCACAGAGTAGTTTGGGTTTAAATTGACCTCTAAAGGCCACCTAGTCCAAACCCCCTGCAAT